TGATGATTTGTAGTGTAGCGATGCAATTTGATCCCATATGGTTTGCTTTTCTTGAAGCCAGCCAGCCAGCCTATTCCGGTAGTAATCCATTCGAATCCAGTGCATCCTTTAGTCTCTTCAAGATGATGCGGCCTAATATTTTGCTTGGGTTGCACAGGGACAGCAGTACGATTCCTCACCAGTCCTTGCAAAGACTTAGGTCTCCCTTCTTCGGGAGTCTGACAAGGTAGCCCTTCTTCCATTCATCGAGTACCTTACCTTTCTTCCAGATCTTCTGTAGTAGTGGTATGAGCATGTCAGACTGATACAAACCTCATGTCAAATGTTTTCTATATGTTCATGTTTGTCACACTATCCAGCCATTCTTGATTATAGTTCTTGTGCATTCACTAGCTTCACTTTCAAAATTCACTCAGTTTCCTACATTCATAAGTTTTCACTAGACAGCATTTTTATGCCAACATCTTTAGTTTCCTGATTGTAATTTACAATACTACTCATTATGGAGTCAGCTCCACTACTGGACAATATTAGCTTTGTTTTAAAAGGAACTTTTTCCTGTAAAAATACTACAAGATATTTTTGCGTTCAGTAGCTCAAAAATCACGTTTATTTTAACATAGATGTACTCAGATGAGAATTTAAATGTAAGTATTATTTCGCTATCTCTAATTTCCTTTGACGATTTCTGTATTTGGAAAGTAAACAGAAATAATTGAACTGCTGATATTTAGTCATTCGATGCATAACAAGTCATATTACATGGTGCTTCTCTTTGACTCAGTAATCATTCACGTCATAGTTGTACAAATATTTTGCAGTTTGCTTTGAGAATCTTGTCTCATTCTAAACAACTTCTTGATTAACTATCAGTATAAATTATAGTCATGTTTTTAAAAAATGATGCAGCTATGAATGAAAAACACACGAAAGATGAATTTCTTATGTTTTATTAGACCATAAAAGCGGTTTTTTTTTAGAGAATCAAGCATATAGAAGCTATTGCTTGCCTAAAATATCAAATCCAGAAGCCCATATTACATTGTTAAATATAACCGTCCTTTGCTGAGATCAGGGTGATGGCTGAATGTTTGTGGGTGTATAGGTGGGTGTAAATCAATGACGGGAAGACAATTCGATTGACAAATTCACTCCCTTAGCATGTGTGCGTGTTTGTACATTAGTTACAGTGGATGTGTACAACATGCCATTTGCTATAGTCATTTTCATTCAATGGAATGCCTCAGCATCAGAATACTTAACATAGTGTTCTTAAGAATGAAGTCGATTAAACTACACAATCACATGACTGCTAGCTTGAAAGAGGTAAGTAACCCTTATTCCAGTCGTCACAGTTCTGTGAGAACCATTGACTTTCTCTGTCTCGTTGACAGCGCATATTACATTGTGACAAATATTCGCTAAGTATTAAAAGTCGGACGTTTGTCTGAGTGGATGTTGCAAGACAGTCGAGGTATTTGTGAAGTTGGCTAGTGAAAAGCCAGCACCTTTCTGCCTAGCGATTGCAAGTCGAGCCTACTTGCAGGATGATGAGCCTACTTCTGGTTCTCTCTGTTAGTCTACGAAGGAACTAGCTCATCATCAATGGCTTTCATCAAGCAATTCCATTTCGTAGTACGAAAATGAATCCAAGCATGGATAGTGTCAAGGGTGGTTATCAAGACATTTACGTACCCAACACGTGGCTGTTAAAGCTTTCTGTTAGCTTATTGTGTCTGGATTGAAATATATTTAGGTAGGCTCATTATGTCTTGCATAATACCATTTAGATGACCGTAAAGTATACCCATAAATTGGAGTCATAAGTGTTTGGCTCATGATGTTTTCAGTGTGAGCATGAGAGGATAACGTCTGTTGGTGACTTCTTCTAGCTTAAAATTACATGGACTTTGAAGATAAACCACTTGTACAGGTCTTTCGTCTGCACTAATTGTGGGTGAAGGAGGCATTCAAGGTTTCCTTATTCTGTTTCTATGGTGTTAGTTTTAAAGCGGTTCCTGAAGATATCGTTTGGTTGAGTGTTGGATTATGGTAGAGTTCATAACCCTAGCTAACTTTAATTCAAGAATCTGTAAATCGCCATCAAGGTTTGGATAGTCAAAGAAGATAATATAGGGTAGTTGAGATAATATATTTTCAGTTCATGGGCATACTTGGGTGTCTGAATGCTGCGTATGCTATAAGCCGATGTTCTGTTTATCAAAAGTGACGTTCTCGTCGATATAGAGGATCAACATAATTAATTGGTGACTTGTCAGTCTCCCTTGTCCAGACGCACACACCGTTATCCAGCGTCGCCTAACCTGTATTCTGTAACCACAGGTAAAACGTGCTTGATTGCACTACAATAAAAGATTGCTGAATCTGCTTGAGTGTCACTATATAGAAAGATATCTTGAAAGAAACACAGGGCAATACTTTATGAGACTTTCGTCTTCTAGTATGAAATAAATTTAATTAAATCCTTTCCAATGGAGCCCAAATTGGTTCTAATATCATCATAGGTCAGGGTGATTGGTTTTAATCGTTAGCCTTCAAACTTTTCTACCCGACTATTCAAATACCCTTTCAAAACTTAATAATTCCCCAACTCCACTTTCAAACTGTTGTCACCCTATCGTTTCACAAGTTACTAGTGACATTCGAAGAAAACATTACGGTATATGCCAGTGGGTCTCTGAGCGTCTTGTATTACGTCATACAGAATGGTTAAATAAAACTTCAGGTTTTAGTACTGGCTAGGTGAACTTCCACCAATGAATTTTCGCATGCTTTTTTATTCGTCCTCAAACTCCACAGACTAGAAGATAACCTAGCAACTTCTGATGATTAAATCTTATTTTTCATAATACTGTTATTATTAGGATAATTTTAGTGCTGTACTTTGCCGAAATATTAACAGGCCATTGTTATTAATACTGGGTGATATTGAAGGTGAAGCGAAAAACTAGGATATGGGTGGACTAAAAGCAGCGGCTTATTGATTGCTGGCCTAAAACCTCACCAACTGAATTAAAACAGTCAGTTGCTGATGAGGTCTCAACATAAATTTAACAATGGAGGGTTGTCATATGAATCAGTAAAACACAACTATCCATTCATCATAATTACTCTAGTTGCCCACCCCAAACCATGGGTATCTCAGACAGTTTCACCAATAACCGACATATGATCCTCTTGTCCAATTTAGGTTATTTTAGAACTAACTAGGCAGCCAATGTAAATACTGTGAACAGACAGTTACTTTTCACTGATCTATATGGCAGTTGGGAAAACTCCCTCAGTTACTGTAGTGGAGTTAACCCTTCTTAGCAGCTGGCTATTGTATCTCAGTTGGTAGAGCACCGGGTCAGTAACCCGGAGACCTGGCCTAGGTTACCGTCTCATCTTCAGTCATCATACAGTGAAAATTTCATACTGTACCAAAAATAGTGGTAAAAGAGTGTTATTACCACTACCGAATGTGTAAATAAGTCCTCGCAGTATAATCTGCTCAGACAGATTCGTCCAGAAGTATGTGAAAGAAAACAAATAAACCACTAAGACGAACCTGCTGTGCGGAAAAGTGTCTTTCTTGCAAAGAAGTAAAGTGGGCAATGTAAGCAGTAGGAAAAGACTACACGTCAATCTTCGATATCAATGACTGTTTTCAATAATAAATACACATAAGCCGACTGTACAGGGAAGGAAATGCCTACTTATATAAATCAATATTTACACAAATAATGAAAGTATTAGGCAACAAAGATTTCCAGATGTATACTAAAGCCCTTATTTTTCTATGAATATGATACTGATGTTGCAAAGTGCTTTATGACAGTAAGTAGGAAAAGTCGATACTTCAGAAGCCTGTACGGTTCCAGTCTCTTATTCAAAGTTAAACACCAAGAATCAATTGGTGGTGTTTTGAAATCTATTATGGTAACAAAGTCAGCTTATTAGAATTACATCTATTTGTTGGAATCACTTTTTTCCAATGTTCTCTTACCTTTCAAATATCTTCATGTCTCACTTCAAGGAAGAGGTGAGTTTACTGTTCATCCCATAAGCTAGCCAAGCTATTGCAACAGTGCTATACTGCTACGAAGTTATTTTTCCGCTCTTTTTCTTATCGATAAGTGGAAAAGGCCCTATCAAATATAGTATAAGAAATTTCTAAGCTTTGTCCCTTGCCTTTACTGATCACCATGTAAAAATTATCACTCCTTATTAGGAGGATGATTTTAGGCATTATGTTTGCAGCAGGATTCGAACCGGCAACCTCCAAGTTGTCAACCCGGTACTCTGCCAATCCAGCTACGAGACTCAACATCAGACGAGAATTTAATTTTACTTCAATCGCCAAGGGTTTAACGCGACTGCCACAGGAATTCTTAATGTATTAGTATCACTTGATTGTATTCACACTGATTGCCCAGCCATGAATTCTCATCCCGATCCCAAGCTACTTGAATTAGAGTTGGGGGGACATCATATTGATTGTCAGTTAGGTCAACTTAGCCAGTAAAGTTACTGATAGTTCTACAAACAGTCTTGACATGTACAACAGCGTACCTCACTAATGGTACCTAACTCCTTGCATAGCCATATTCTGTAAACACTTCCACATCACTGACATCAAATGGTGAACTGTATCAGATTTCTGAAAACTCACTTTAGCGCCAAGGAAAAGGCTAGATAAACACATTTGTTAGGATATCATCGTGTCAATTCTTATATACTAACTAGATAACTGAACCTTTTCGAAATTAGTGGTCAATAAGGATGGATTATAAATCACTCATTCCTTAGAGGTATCACTTCTGATTCAGACAAAGCAATAACTTAATTCGCAACGATATGGACATATTGAGAATTTCATAAATGTTTCCTAATCAGTCACAATTTTCCCCAGTTAATTTCATTACCTGAAACCAACTTTAACTACCATTAAAATACACAAAAATCCTCTAGTCCAGCTTACTATAAAAAACAGGCAGTTCTGACCAATTTCATTCTTGACATCTCATAAGATAAGCATTTTGGACATAAAAATTCCATTTTAATATCAAGATAAGGTAATTAGACAGTGAACTATTATTACGGAACACAGTTTAGGATAATAATATGACGTTAAGTAAAACTCTTAAATGCTGTAAGCTGTTAAGTCAAGTAGTACAAATTAAATTTGATACAGACTACGTAAAGTGCGTTTTACTTTCAACTTAAAAAGAGGAGTCATCCAGTGGTGTTTCATGAATTATTCGATTTTTAACTTTAGTTACAGGACAAAATCCAAAAGACCAAGTTATCTCTGAAATCATCAGGTATCTAAAAAGAAAAGAAAAGACCAATAAGTCAGAAATATAAAGGATGGAAAAAGAATTTCTATTTCCTGTTGTAAATGACGGAGTTCACAATATATCATGTCATCGATTCATGCTGAGATTTTTCTTTATCTCATAAATTATTTCCAGAGAATGAATACAGCAATGTTATTTCAACTCAAAAATATTTCATATGTAAGCTTTGTTTGGTAAGCTGATTGTGCACATTGGCTGATACAGTGGTGGTGGTGGTGGTAACGTCTTTTTGATTTCAGTTCCTATAACTGTGACTGTCTTTCTCCACAATTGACACCATTATTTGGATAGTTTATTTGAGTCATCGTTCAGCTATGCCACCATCCAAGATGAACAGATTAACATGACTACCATAGACACGTTAGTTTGTGCAGTAAGTAGTCAATACAGTTTCAGTTTGAAGCTATCTCAAGCATGAGGAAGCTCAAAAAGATGCCGAATTTGCACTTCATTGTTGTTCTGCTATATATTTGGCCTTTACTGAAGATAATAAGAAGTCTGTTTAATTTGTGTCAGAAAGCTCAAACGTCGAACTGCTTATCAGAGCCTTTCTTTCGTTACTACGTTAGATCTGATGATACGAGTAATACGAATGGGGCAAATTAGGTGAGACATCAATTTCCAAGCAAGCTTTGACTTACTGCCTCTATACATCCAAACTTACAGATTTCAGATTCAGTGATGTATCTTTGTGGTGATTCAGGGGAGCAAAAAACTCCTGCATTATTTGCCATACTTTGAGCTAATCTCTCAGCATTTAGCTTGAAAGTTTTCAAGGGAATGAGATTTTCAGAGCACTGAGGATTGATTAACCCTGATATCCTAGTGGTTTTCTATGTGATTTGACAGTTGTAAACCTTTAGGTGAGAATTTCAGTGAACTGAGAAGAATTCAATTAATAAATAATTTAATGAAAACGGTTGTAAAAGAGCTCACCCTTATTCGTATCGACCATATTCACCAATGCCCACTGGACCACTAGTAGATTCAGTTTCATTCGTCTATGGAGAGAAATGAAACCTATGAATATCACAATTACTCAAAAAATTTCCATGTCAATGCGTGCTTTTTTATTGGTATGGCATTCATCCGAAGTCACTACTGCTTATTTATCCTAACTACTAACATAATACTGGCTAATTGGCCTTAAAGCTTGAAGATTAAACAGTGATAAACCACTGTTGAAGCCTGCAAACCGGATTGCATTCGCTTCTTTAATCCAACTCTTCAGAAAAGATGTTAGACGAAATATTCACAACAGCTAAAGTCTGCTAGTTGAGTTAACTAAAATAAATATCACTCTCGGTTACTGAGTCTCATTCTGCATTTTATTCCCTGTTGAATAACTATTACTCGTGTATTCGAAGTTTGTTTCTTTCAGCATTCTTCCGCAAATCTATAATCTTTAATATTATCTTGTCAGGCAGATAATCAATTAAGAATAATGCATTCCATACAAAGTTTTCATGACAACCTGTATGAAGTCAGACTTCAGAATTTTCGGATAAATTATTTCTTGATATAAACAAGGATGATTACTATTTCTCTGAGGTTTCTTATCTTTTAGCTTCCTGGTAATCATAAAATAATTGTCACAAGTAAAGTAAAGCAAAGTAAAATACCTATTCACCTATTAAAGTATGTCAAGTAGTTTTGTTTAGAAGAAATAAGAAAAGATCAGTTTATTTGTGAAAACCTGTAGAAATGTTACCTATAGCTTGAGATATGTAAGAAGGCGAAATGAACTGCATAGTCGGTGCACGCCTATAGTAGTGCATAGTGATGAGCTGAAGGAGAACTTTTATCTTAAAATTACGCTGTTTCATTTCTGCTAACAAGTGATTCTCAGTGTTTATTTTCATCACTGAAACCCACTTGTGTTAAGAAAAGTTTAAAGACTGTACAAGATAAATGCATCACGTCAGTATGGTTGACAAGGTAATTTAATCCTGATTAATTGCTGAATCTAAACAGATGGTGCTACGATGAACAAGTAGTTGCAAACCTCCTATGTACCAGGCAGCAAAGTGCTTGTTTTCTGTCGATCGATTGGACTTGTGTTTCCAGTTAATTCAGTAGAGATGAATGACTGTTACTGAGGCGGCAAACGGTTTGGATCGTGACTTTCCTCAATTATTGCCAACTTCAGTCGTTATAGCTGAGTGAATTACTTCAGGATGGGTGGCAGGACATTTTCATTCAGTTAATATCTAATAATAACACTGGTTGTTTGATCAACTCTTAGGAATCACATGTACATACCATTGAGTAGAATTTTGAATAAATGTTATCCATTATAAACATCAAGTCCATAGTTGTTACGAATGTCCTGAATATTCTGCTGAAGAAGCTGTGGCATACACAGCGAAACATTCGGAAGAACCTTGTTTTCGATTCCCTAAGCACCCTGTGATTATGTTAAAACTTACCTGTATAATGTTACCCGTTGTCATTAGGTGCTGATAAGAAGCGTAAGAATAGTTGAAATGACAGTAATAAAAGTTGTGCATGTAAATCCTCACAAGCCACGAAATTAAGTAGCTTCATATAGATTTACTATGGTTCTGTTGAGAAGCTGTGAGTGTTAACAAAATCAGTTGTGAGGACGATATCTGTTGATGATATAACTGGATGGTTAGTTCATCACGAAATCTGTTTTTAACCCAGCAAACACTATTGACTGGGTCAAAGACACCTGTAAACAAAATGGGATTACTCTACCGGCATCCACAACAAGGAATATTAACTAAGGAGAAATGTTAGTTAGGTGGCAAATTTCTGTCAAAAGCATTTCATTAGTGAGTCTTCTTTCTATTTGATGATTGTTATTTAGTAGGTGTAATCTTCAAAATGCAACCAACTTGCCTTAATCTATTAGGTAGGAGAAAACTAATTGATCCTTGATTGACCAGTTTTTCTAAACCATTTCTAGAAGAGTCAGTTTATGGATGCAATAGCTCAATGGTAACATCTCTGACTGCAGCACTGGATGATGGACTCTCGAATCTTTTAGTAGTCGTCAATTCCTTCAAGGTTTTGGATATGATACGTTGACAAGTTTGTCGACAAGCTTAAAACCTAAGTCCTGAACACTCAAGTGATTACCTGTGACTATCTAATATAAGATAGGAGTATTCAAATAGGAAAATCACTTTCAGCATTTCATATGGTGTAGTCTGTTACTACATACTGCAGTGAAATTTTCTCGAGCGTGAAACACTCCAGTTATAGGCGCTGAATGGTTACAAAAAGATAATAATATGATCATTCTTCAATATCTGTAAAACTAAGTCTGTGTGGTATAAAATAATTCCATTTTATTCTATTTATTAGACATACTGCACAGTGAAACAGGATTATTTACGAAATGATGTTTAGAAGCTTTATTATCTATTGTCATATTGGAATAATTCCACAATTTTACACTTATATCTAAGTTGGGAATTTTCCTAATTTTGTAAATGGAAAGTAAATTGTAGTTGAAATGTTATTTTGTGAATAGTACTGTTTTACTGTATGACGTTTCTAATAAACCAAATCAAATGGATTCATATTCATTGTATTCCAATTCCTGGTTAGTTTATCTAAACATCTCGCTGCTAGATGACAAGTAAGTTGCTTACTTTGCGTCTGAGTTTGTATATCCATATATTTGGTGGACTTGTTTCTAAAAAGTTCGGCTTGTAGATTTCTTATTCTTCTACGTCTGACTGATAGTTGAGTAAAGTATTGATGAAAGCCATGGTAATCACACATTCTCTTGAATGATTCCATGGGATTACAAATAATATGCATCAATTTCAACGAGAACTGTGTGCATTTAAGCGGTAATGGCTGACAGTTTCTAAAACTCAAGAAACAGCTGTTCATCACCATCTAGTACTACTGAAATTTAATCACCAACAATGGTGAATATATTTTAACAAGAACAATATGTGACCTAAGTAAATCAGTTTTATCATGACTTGGGTTCTGTTGCGTTCCTACATTTGAAAAAGAACTTACTTCACTTTTCTTTTTTGCCGGAGGATTTCTTAACAAAAATATCAGTGGACAAAATGCAACCGAAGCAATAGATATCGTCCATAACATCCTAGATACAAGATTAAAGTGATAACAGGTCACTTCACCCTGTCACTTCATGCATTAGCAATAAAAGGTTTAACATTTTCAAATAATCATGGTGTGTCAAATGACAAAACTGTTGCTGATTAGACCACATGAGTTTTCTCTGACTACTATTAAATCTTGTTAGGGATGTGCGAAATTCGATGAGAAAGCTTAAAAGCAATTTGTTTGATAAGTATTCGAACTACAATGCCATCCTCTTTCTCATTCATGGCTGAATGAACTCACATGTTTTTTTTCGATAAAAGTACTACTGTCAAGTATGAGTGGGTTTCTGTGCACTAACTACCAATGTCTTTTATGTTCCTACTGGTTCGTTATCCGACCTAATTGGTGTGTTTTAACTCAATAACGCTGAAAATTAATTTATAGTAACTAATAATAAATCTGTGCATCCATCTAATTTTCACAGCATGATAAACTGGAGAGTCATTTTATTATCCTTTCTCTCATAGATGTGCTACGCTACCAGAACTCAAGCAGAACGGATTTCGTAATAAGGATATGTTACCTTAGTCGCCACTGGTGAAATTCAGATAACTTTGTAGGTACAAGTTTCACATTTCGTGGTAAGCATGTCAGCTGAAAGTCGTTGGTGAAGTTTAATCCGAGCAGCTGTGTAGAATGGCATTAATTTAAATAGTTCAACTCTCCTTAGTAAAGTTGTCTCAGAAACATAGCTGATGATCTTCGTGTTTGTAAAGTGAATGTATTATCTTAAGGTTTGATGGCCTACAGTTGGTTAGTACTGTTTGCCGATATCTATGACTTGCACGTTGTTGACCACATAAGGGGAGATTATTCATCAGTTTGATGCCAGTGACATTCAATTAACCTCTGACAATTAAATGTCGCAATAGGCAGTCAAGCTAGATTAGGTAGTTTCAGTGCAAAGTTTTATTTTGAAATGGATACACCTCAGTTTCAGTTGTCAAACAAACATAAAACCCAAATCTAAAAAGAGATCACCACCTCAGCAGAGAAAAAAATGCTATGAATAATGTAAACTTCGCAGAACATGCTTTACGTTATAGTTCAGATTAGTATTTTCTTATCACTGAATGTTATTTCGTAATTCGAAAAGAGACTACCTTATCTGACTATATCTGTGTGAATATGTCAGTTCACTTCCTCTTGTGGGGTAAGGTAAGTAGGTAATCTGATATGAGTTCAATCCAAAATAGTCCAACAACACTATGCTGTGTTGATGCAAAGAATTTACAGTGCGTTTATAAGTATGAACACTATTCATTCAGTTTCAAGGAAATCTCAATTAAATATTGAAAAGGAATCTTTTCAAGCCTGTAATTTTCCATATTTTTGGCACTGTCGAATGTAAAACTGCTCACATGAAGAACCTTATCCTCTTCCCATCTCACTGTACCAATATCAAGTTATTCCTTGGAATAATACATTTCTTCCATTCTGTTATGTCTTCACGTAATTTCTGCGTGCTTCCTTTCTTGTGCCTTTTATGAGTACATCACCTTTTACAAATTGTTTTATAAGTTTGCACAATTTCTAGTTCCACCTCTAAGATTTCTGTGCGATTTTGATCATATTCTGATTATTATTATTATTATTCATATCAGTCTCGATTACTTCAGGATATGAATGATATTTTGGGTATTTACGTTTTATTTGGCTTTCAACTAGCCCAAACAAAGTGTTAAAGAATGATAAATTTCATACACACTTACCAACTGAAACCAACTCCTTTTACTATAGCACCACTTGCAATAGGACCTATTTATATTTTAATATTAACAATTGAAACTTGAGTTTGTTTCAGAAGAAATCGGAAAATGAATATATATAGATGTATAATCCTGAGTAAATTAAACACTATATTTTTGCTGATCAGTCCAAAACCTTAAAAATGGCAACAGTTATAGAGTTCCGATTACACAATAATTCCATCCTCATATCAGCGTCGGATGATTGCAGGCAGTAGACAAGAATTCCTGGGTTTGGCTTCTGTGCACCGACGGTAGAAAAAGTGCAACCAAAAATATTTGAACCCCTGTCACAGTGAGAGACGGTTTAATTTAAGTATTTAGGTCACGATTGCCGTTTGCGTGGCTTGATAAAATGCACGAAATAGTCACTGTAGAACATCTGACACCATTTTTCTTAATTGTAAAAGGTAGTCAAAATGTCGGAGTTAAATTCGTGAAACAGCCATCAAGTAAGGAGATTCAGTATTGTGGTGCACTTGATCTGATAACGTGTAGATGCATCACTTCCTCTGAAGTTGTAAATACACGAAACTTATGAGTGCCAAAAAACACAAACTTTCAGTCTGCGACTGTTAGCCATTCACTACCGACTAATGAAGGCAACTAAGATGCATCTTGATGCTAAGTCAATGTTTGTGGCGATATTGAAAACATGTTTGACAGAAACTGATTATAACTCAAAACATGACAAATAACGCCGGTTGCTGCTAATTTATCTTGGTACTGCACACCAAATATTTGAATGAAATAAATGCTTTGTGAGATTCTCTTCTCTCATTCTTGATTTCAGGCATAGTGAATGCCGAATAAATAAACTACCTTAAATGGGAAGATATACGTTATTTCTCTACTACCATAAAACGAACTTTCGTCAAGCTGCTTCATTTATTCACATACCAGTTAAAAAACATATAGTGGTGAATCTCACTTCTAAATCGTCTTGTAACTAAATTTTTGATCATACATCAAGTTGATATTTTTATCTGTGATGCTGCTAAATTTGTTCTACTGATTACAACCGTAAACTGCTAGAAGTGGTCTTACGAAAACCGCTGGTGACAGCATGTTAAGGGGATTGTTGATCAACGTCAGAATGTAAACTTGGTAACTTAGTTTCTACAGTGCTGAACCTACAACCGGTGGATTGCTTATCGAAGCCTCGTCTAACCCTTAATTTTTTCAGCTTTTATTCTACACCATCTAGTATAAAATTCGCTCACCGAAATCAGGCTATGTAATATTAGCAAATTAGCAATCTGCCAATCACATTATTTTTATTCTACAGTTTGATAAATATTTAGATTAGCAGACCTAACTGGGCAGATCTTGTGATTATAATGTACAGATAATTACATATCAGCTTACTGTATCACAGTCATGCATAGTTCTTCGACTTTTGTTCGCTCGCAATATAATGACTACTTACCTAGTCCAAATGCCAAACAAAGTGCGACATCTCCTATAGCATAAACGCTCCCGTATACAGCCACATGCCTCAAGTCAACCAAGTAACCCATAGTTGGAAACATTGTTGAATCTATCATACCTGGGATAGAAGAAGCCGAAAAAAGATTCGTACCTCGAAGTAAGCCTCTATTTTGATTCACACACATTCAATAATTAAAAGAATCATAAAAACAAATTCCCATATGACTTCATACAGCAAGGATATGACAGTAAGGGGAATTTTCTTTCCAACAATTTCATTTGTTACAGCTGCACAAAAGACATTATGTTTTTAATCAGCAGGGTCACACGATTACTGTTTTGTTTCACAGCAGAATAAAAAGCTGTTTCTAATGACAACAGAGAATTACTGCTGTGTTAGGGGGTGAGTTTAATGAGTCTAAGGATTCGATTCACCAATGATTCAGCTTTATAAACCTGATTTTTATGCTCAGAACACTATTTGCACCCAATAAATTTACCATAAAGAAATGAGTTCTTCCCTTCTTACTTTAGAAACCACTTTTTTATTCTCCTGTTCAACACTGTAGACTGTTATTTGATTTCAATACTTATCAATAAGACTGTGTCGCTTTCATGAATAAAATTTTTGAAAAGACAGTAACACTGTTATCTGCAGAACGTCTACAAAGGAGGCTGCCGATTATTGCCAATCGAAATGGGATATATGTAAACTCTTTTCATATACTTGGATCAGTTACCTGGAACAAAAAAGGGTTTCTATAAAGATAACTGACCGTTGTTGCTCGACAGGGCACAAGAGTCATAGCGTCAATTAATATTAATTTAGAAAATCTGTGGTGAAAACAAGGTTTAAGGCAAATACTTGCTCTTTTAGTCCTATAGGATCGGAACAGTCTGAGAATACATTGACCTGTTGGTATTATTTTGCACGAGGACAAGAGAAGGAAAAGGTCAAGTGAAGTATTTCAGCTTTTAGGAAATGTAACAATAACGAATCATGACAGGAAACGTAGGACTAACATTAGAAAATAATCCAACTTATCAAAAAAGGTTACATCTGACGACATCCCTATATTAGGCCTTAGGATCGCAAGCCTGATTATCCGTGGGGTTGTGGCTGTGCACTCTAAAAGGATTCTTAATCCGGACTAAAGAGGTGTCAGGTGTCCCTAGATCTCAGTGGTACTATGACCAACACCAATTCAATAAGAAAACCACTGTCAAATATTAGACGTTGAAGCTATCTTCTGGTTGGAGTTTCATTACATTTCATCATGTGTTATTCAATCTTTTTTGATAATGTGATTTAATGATGCTAGGCAGCAGACACATGCTATCTGTACTATCTACAGTCCTAAAAACATGACTTTTTGTAAGATGTTTATGAATCTCTTTCATTAACTTGAACCGCTCACCAGATCTGACTATTAGACATCTTGGTATGTGAGGCATCAACCAACTAATTTTTAATTCTGTTATCCTTCAATAAAATATGCACTTGAAAGAAATTGGGGTTACTTGTAGGACTGTATATATAACACTTTTTTAATTTCTCCTAAACAAAGTTCAGTCAATGACTCACTAAAGTCAACTGGTGAGTGTTTGCATATATGCCGCATATGTAGAAGTGACGATTTGAGGGTCAATTATAGTATTATAGCATCTTGAAGTTTTTTATCAATCTTCAAAGCTATTACTTAGCTTTACTTGTATTCTGAAACCTGCAGTTTTCCTTATCTTCACAATGGCTAATCATCGGTCACCTCAAACTATGCAGTTTATCAATTTATTAAAATGAGGTATTCCGTAATAACATGATCACCGTTGGAAGTTTTGGATGATTAATTTAAAAAAACCTCCAAAAAAGCTAAGAATTTTGCTTGTTACTGAAAAAGTCTAGGAAGGTATAGAAACCACAAAACGTTAACTCCATGAACTAGCTACCATTACACTTTATTCAGCAATAAGTTCTTTACGTTTCTTCTTGAGACCCTTCATGGATTATTGGAAGTCTGTTTAAAAGGCGAATGCTAATCAGTTGAATCAAATTTCAGCATCTGTAGGATTAACAGACATTCTTCACTGATCTTACCAATAGAAAATCCCAATACAGCCATTGGCACAATTAAGTGTCCCAATCTGGTGCAAAATGGTATCTAAAATTGAAAAAGAAACAGAATTTTAAATTGAAGGAACTCGTGAAATATCAATTTCACCAGTAAAACAAAACCTTTTCTGTTCCTCGCCACTTTTGTTTATCAGTTCACTCTGTCTTCCAGTTTTTCAGTGTTGGTGATACTTAATCTAACTTAGAACCTTGAAACTAGCATATTTTCCCCTAAGCATACTTTTTTGAGAAGTAGTATTGATAACTAACTGTGGTTTTCATCGGTGCAAAAAAAATTGTAAAGCCGACGTTTCAGCCTGAAAGACTTTGAGTTGACAGTAGGATTTAACTGCAATGAAACTTTGCGAAGTTCACCTAAATCCCACAAAACGATACATATAATCGCAATAATGCAAGAATATTGATTTTGTCTATATATATATATATATATATATATATATATATATATATATATATATATATATAACCACGCCTGGTTAACTAGTTCACTAGTTACTAGCCAGTACTAAGCCCAGATAAAGAGGGAAGGTTGGACATAAGGCTAGCAACCCCCCCCCCGTAAAAAAAACCCAACCACTACAGAAACTTCAAAGTGCAAACAAAATATCAAAAATAAAAACAAAATTATTCCTCGCTTGAATCGAAGAAACGAAATGACGCCGGTTGGTGAAAGTCTTCGGGAAGCCAATTGGCCGATGTATCTTCTCTTCTCTTCATGAAAGCGAAAGTAAACGTGGGGACATGGAATGTCCACACCATGTTTGAACCTACCAAGGCTGCCCAGATTGCAAACGAGGTGAGAAGGTATCACAGTGAAGTGCTGGGAATTCGCGAAAGTGGATGGAATGGGAGTGGACTCTCCAAACTGTCAACTGTAGAATCAATAATCTACTCCAATGTTGTCACCCAGACGACACGCAAGAGCCCACTGAGTTATGGAGTGGCTATCATGCTGTTCACAACAGCATCTAGGGCTCTCAAGTGATGGAAACCAATTCCTTCCAGTATAAGGATCATTATAGCAAGGTTCAACTCGAAAGGAGGGAAAGTCACGATTGTACAATGCTACGCACCTACAAATAATGCAGATCAAGAGAGAAAGGAAGAATTCTACAGATGTCTGCAACCAGCCCTAGAGAAGAATGCAGTTGATGATATCACAGTTCTAATGAAGAGATGAATGCTAAACTGACAGCAGACAATGTAGGAAGAGAAATGGTCGCGAGAAGCAGTCTGCAAAGTGAATGACAGCGGAGAACTATTTGCAGATTTCTGAGCATTCAACGATTTGGTGACTGGAGGCAGTGTGTGCAAACACAAGGATATCCACAAAGCGACATGGACTTCACCAGATGGATACAACTAAAATCAGATCGACTTCATCTTAATGTGATGTAAGTGGAGACTCAGCCTACGGGACATAAGATCAAAAAGAGGAGCAGATGTAGGTTCAGACCACTCACTATCTAGTGCAAGGAACCTGCCTCCAAGATCAAGTTGAAAACCTTCAAGGAAGCTGGTGAAAGACCCCAGTTCAAGTTCATACCCAGAACAGAATGTGAAGGACGAAACTACAAAAGACATTTCCACATCAGCTATAAAGACAAAATGGGAGACATTGAGCAACATCCCTGAAGGATCGAGCGTTGAGGAACACTGGAAATCCCTGAAAAGAATGTGGAAAGAAACCTACATAACCGTATTGGGAAGGAAGAAGTAAGAAGACAATGAATGAATCTCGCCGATCATATGGAAGCTGATAGGTTAGAGGAAGCTCCTAATGGTGAAGAAGACGAACAATTTTAAGGATGCACAACGAACAGAAGATTTAAATACAACGTTTAAAATACTGGATAAAAAAGAAATGAAGAAGAGTACGCGGAAATAACAAAGAAACTTCTACAACATATTGACAAGTGGAGCAAAACAGGCTGCTGGTGGGAGAGACTGAGCCCTGACATCATTATATCAAATAACCAGGTTACTGTCTGGTAGTGAAGAGATCAACGCAGACGAAACCAATGAAAGATAGTGAGGGAAAACTAGTCACCAAAGAGGAGAAACAAAGGAAACTATGGGCTGACCAATTCAAAAATCTCTTGAATTGACCACCACGTGCAACTGGATCAGAAATACCACCAACAACGAAAGAATTACCAGAGAACACAAGCCCTCCGACAAAAGCAGAAGTCCTGAATGCCATGAAGTTGCTGAAATCTGGGAAAAAGCATAAGGACCAGATAGAATTCATCCAAAAGCACTGAAAACAGATGCATAGAGAACAGCGGGCATCCTCACACCACTACTGCAGAAGGTTTACAAGGTAGAAAGGAAGGAAAAATAGCTGGCGATTGATTGGAAGAAGGGCTACCTTGTCAAACTCCCGAAGAAGGGAGACCTCAGTGTTTGCAAGAACTGGCGAGTAATGTATATATATATATATATATATATATATATATATATATATATATATATATGCATATATACATATATGAGATGTTATGGGGGACCTGTAGCTCTAAATGAGGATGCTAGTTGTTTGGTTTTCTCCTAATTTTGGGATTTGTTCTTGGACGTTCTAGCACCTTACTAGACGAGTTTGTTTATTTCTCTTCCAGAAGTTACTGTCTCATATTACATTTTAGATATCTAACTTTTTCATCCCAACTAGTCTCATCAGGTAGGTTACTATAGAAAAGAAATCCCACTCTACTAACCTCGAACGTTTTACTAAAAGAAAATTTTTTTAGTATTCTGTCAGCCTTAAGCAGTCTACCTGTTGATACTATTGAACAAAAAAAGGTTTTAATACTCATACTTTCGGTAAATGAAACGTATTTTCACTCATCAGCAAGGTGGATTTCTCAAGAATGACTGGATAAACTCACTTTCCAGTATAAAAAGCTTTTGTCGGTGGAAGAACATGGGGAGATATAAGTGCTCTCTTCTGTTTCTCAACTCATCAGTACTTCAAACGTACAATTATGGACAATAACTTGTGCTTTTCGTTTCAGTACGTCGTCTCGAGGAGATTTTATACAACTCAGTAAATATATATTCACGCACTTTTCTTTCGATATAGTGACAATTTAATCTGTATTGCTACCTCTTTCTGTTTATCCTTCCTATGCTACCAACTTTGAAGCGGACAGTCGTGTGGTCCTGCATATGAATATCTCCTTCATGATTTGGAGGACATCAAAATAATAAAGACCTCTCCGTCTTTCTATAGCATGCTTGGCCAGAAGCACTTTTGAGAAATATTAAATTTTACATCATACTGACATCGAATGGAAAGAAGTTCGTGCAAAATAAAAATGATGAATTAAACACAAGGAGAGTAAATATAATTTTATTTACATTTGCCGAAAAAATCACCTGAAAACTGAGCATGAAAAGTTTCCTCTCTCAACAGCAGTTAATAATATTGATAAAGTTTCGCTCCATCTAAGCCTTTTAACATCATGAGGCTTTACATTCACGGTGTTTAAACCTTCTCAAGCCAACAACACACCTCTATGTATTATTTGAACTAGGATTATTTCATTTGTTGATTTCAAATTAGTCCCACTTAAAACATCTGAAAGAGGTTTTAAATTTTCACTCTAACACATAACTGTTTTTACATGATGGTTGTTAGAATAAACTGAGTTTTACTGAGATTGACATCAAACAAACAAGACAAGAAGATAACAATAATACTCACAGCTGTTAGGCTGGCTGCACAAGCTACCATTCCCATAGCAGCACACAGTGGTCGTCCAATTTTGTGTGCGATGTAACCAAACAGGTTTGTGCCAACGAGATAAGAGAAGCTACACGGTAGAAATACTATTCCTTGCTGCCATTCAGATGATTTCATTGTATTCCACATCCACAATGGTAGAGAAGGTTCCAACATAGCGGTTCCCAGATTACCAATTGTTATTGTTCCTTCAGTATTCATTAATTTAAATTGCAACAAGAAGGATAAAAGTATGTGTGGAGTAGAGAAAAAGAAGAGTGCTGATTTGTTTTCTCTTCTTCAACTTCAAGTAAACTAACATGAATTTCAGATAAATAACAGGTCCACTGAGAAACACCTAGCTGGTTTGAATAAGGATATCTTCTAGTTGTTTCTCGGAAAACAACAGTATTGAATTCTCTAACAGTGGGGAGTAATAAAACTGCAAACAATTGCGTCGTAGCATTCATTGATTTTTAAAAGACTGAAAATGAAAAATGTTAAGACTACTAACTCCCTCAATTTTAAGTCCTTAACTGTTAAATACTTAAAATGTTCTCCACAAAAGAGTTACATCTAGTTTCTACATACAATAGAGCAAATTCATATGCCGCTCACAGCATATTGGTCAGAAAGATGTTATATAGACATAACCCGAAATTTTGAGATCCCAGTGAACCTTATTATTTATTTTCTACTATTCCTCATTGAAATTTACCCACATACCATAGCACACTAAGGTACCTAAAAGACTCCTGTTTAAACGTTCCCTTGCTACAGTTAGGGGAGTTCACCCTGAGCCATTTAGATAAAGAACAACCATCAGTTAAGAAAACTATGAAATGGGAAGTAGTTTCCATTTCTTGAACCATGGTTAGTAGGCTGTATTACTTTTCAACCAGAGGGCTTGAAATTGATAGTGAGATTTATAAGACAGGATAGATGATGTTCATTTTTCTAAGGTTCTCCACAGCTTTTCCATAAAGTGCGATCTGATATGGTTTTCGGAATCATGGCACACACAAGATAATTTTGTGGGAAAAGTGCTAGTGTACGGGTTTATATTAAGAGGATAGTTGTTCTTTTCGACTGATTTGCATGCACTCATATCGAAACTCTGTGTTCGTAGTTCAGTCTCCCCTTTTACCATGGTCATAATAATAATGCACTAATATTTAATTTCCTTCTGTCTCTAGAATACTGCCGTACTCACGTGGCCCCATTAATAAACAATACTATTTCATGCGTTTTGTTGCTTGAATGCTTTTAGAAAAAATGAATGGATTTGCAGAATAAAATGAAGTCATCTTCTTCCATTGACATACATCAGCGGGGCATAATCTAAAGGGATATTTTAATCAAGAAAACTGACATTATAACGATGAACGGTTTCATGACTGCAGAATTTGATAATAATATTTCTACTATGCCAAAGAGTCTCCGGACTAAAACTTGTTGATGACTGGTAGGACAAGAATTGTTATAGTTCAGGTACTAACTTATCACTTTGCCTTTTCCAAAGATAGTTTTATTTTTAATACTTCGTTGCATAATCCCTATTAAAGTGGGCTTGGTTGAAGTCCGCAAACAATAATGATGCATGATTCACATTGTCTGGAACAACAAATACTGTCAATATACCTCTGACTTTGTCTTTTGCTTGATAGCTAAGCTGAGACTTCTGCAGTCTAGGCGAGCCACAAAGATGTCAGCTAATGTAAATCCTAGTGGTGACCCCATAGCAGCTCCTTCAGCTTCCTACTATTGTTAGCTTTTAGACTGGAACTGAACACTGTTTGCATAAAGAAGTAATTGCTTCAACGCTATTTTAGCATCGGAAGCAGAGACCGCTGACTAATTATTTCGACAATTTTATTTACCGGTATGTTCGTAAATAATGAATTAACATAGATTGACAGAATAAAGTTACCCAAGATATCCCGGTGGTCCAATTTTCAAGGGCATTTGAAAGTGTTTCTCAGACTTACCTTCAAACCTTTTTCATCTGTCCTTCACCTCCAAACTGAATAATCGCCTAGTTTTAATAAAATGAATTCATCATCATAAGAGGAATATTCGTTTTGCAAATTTTCGACAGGCCATACATTAATAGGAAGCATGAACTTTTCGTCTTGAGACCATTGTGTTTTGCCATCGGGTAAATTCTTCTTACGAAGTCGTTTAAAGCGTTTATTAACTATTGCTTCAAATGATACTGTTACATCTTTCTGGGATCTTTCAATTATACAGAGGAAAGAATCACTTGAAAAAAAGACTGCGCACACATACCTTGTTATTACTCCACATCAGCTACATCAGACTGCTTATCAGCTCCAACTACAAAAGCTTCATTTATCTTGACTAAGATATGTATTTGTGGGCTGATGAATAGCCGTGAAATAAAATGACGTAATCCTATTCTGCAAAGCTAATCACTTCTGCTGTGTTCAGACTGTATTTCGTTTCCAGTACTTACAAATACAATTGATTTTAGGGAGATAACTATCAATCAGTGGATCATGGCGTTGAACCACACTCTACCTACTAGCCAGGTAATATACAATGTGTGACTCACTGTCTACTGCACGGATGTGCAGTGGATGACTGAGTGCATTTCGTCCGTACAAATACGACTGTACAGCTTTGGTGAATTATATCGTGGAAAAATATATATTTAGTTCCCATGACAAATTTGAACAATGCAAGAAAAAAATATTTTCAGAATAAAATGAGCTCATTTTATTTCATGGCGTTTCATCAGCTGCAAAGAGCCTACAATCGAATCGAAGTATTAGTAATAATAATGGCATTAAAAACTTTAAGTATATAGAAATAAATGGAGATTTGAAATCCAGAATTCACAAAAAAGTAGTGAATCAAGAAAACAAAGGAATAAAAATTATAAATATTAGTCAAAATCAGCGGCAATTTATGTCTGATGAGGTAGAAAATTCTGAAGCTGTGGAGTAGGGGAGCACAACAAAGATCAGAATAAAAGAAGGGACTGTTTAAGGGCTAGTATATTACGAAATGCATGAGAAACTGGAAAATCGTTAAGTGATCAACTGTCAGTAGGTAATTAACGAAGAGATTATGCTACCGAGTGAAAATGGAAGACTAGATACATATACATGCAAAAATTATGTACAGTTAGCAACGTAAAGAAAGGTTAATTATAGTGTTTTACTGAGTAAATAGGTCGGGTTTAGCAGCAAGAGATTCCGCGAACCTTAATAAACATAGCATTTTTTGTTTGTTGATTATACTGAAGGATTGAGAAACATCTATTTGATATACCATTTCCATCAGGTTCCTGGAGATTGATACCTTGATACCATCCAGACACAGATTTCTTGGAATATGCCTATAAAATCGAGTAGACGCCTTTCTTTCTATCGGTCCCATGTACTTGCCTCCACAAGTACACGTGAATTGATCCACATAGTTGGAGGTTATGTGTGCAGTGTGTTTGTCTACTTTTGACTATGTTATTGAGGATACTGTACTGTAAATTTAGACGAGTCTGGCAGCACGGAAGTTCCTTCTCAGTTCAGTTTTAATTCTGCTGTCTATTCTTTCAGATGTCTCATCACTTTGGAAAACAGGCTTCTTGTCAAAATTTGGATGCTTTTGTCTCTCAAAAATTCTCATCCATGCTTTATGATGAATTCCTTCGGATATCTATTCTCTATAATAGTGTCCTCAATTATACCGAATTCTCCCTGTTGTTTATCTTTTGAGCACAGCGTTTTTATTCTAGTGAACAGCGTCTTGATTAAACCACCCTAATAGCTGACAGGACTGAAACTATTGCAGTGAGGGTACTGACCAATTCACGTGTCTTTCCTCTGGATAGTTTTCTCAACTCTAATATCACATCTCCATATTATACTTAAATCCATAGTAGTTTCTTTTTGCTTCATCAACTTTGAAACTGGCAAAGCTGTGGATAGCAGTATCACTACTGGCCCTAATAATTGTACCATAGTATCAGTATTTATTGGTCGCGTTAATGGTCTTTCTCACAAATCTAACTGACAAACAAACAGATTGTAAGATACAAAACAAGCAATTATGTTCTTTTCCTCGTTATGAATTATGCGTATTCAAAGAGGTTTCGGTCTCTTTTATCGAGTATTCATGAACTCTTCATCTATATTTTGGTAGACTGAAGTGAAAAGTGACCTCACTTCAAGGAGGGTTATTCTCTCTATACCTCGTCCAATCAAATCATTTATGTTGGTGAAGTCTTCAACAGAACCATTGAAACTTAGCTTTCTACATTAGCGTTAATGACTGAGCACCCATTATCATGGTATTAGATATCAACCACCGATCAGTTTTCTGGGTGTATGTAAAGTTGAAAGCAATGCGGAAACGTTATTCAGACAAACAGGTCGAATAAAGACAAAGGGGAAAATACATTTGGAAAAATAAAATGAAGACCAGCCACCAAATAAGAGATGATGAGAAAATGGCCTTGAGATAAAAAGTGACGAAAACCGTAAGAATGTGACCAATCTAATGTACCATACTTGAAAAACCCAAGAGAGACAACTTCTGCCAAACTTAAGTAGAAAGAAGACATTAGGGTCATCAATAGTTTGTAGTACAGTATCGATGTTATCAACAGACATTAAAAGGAAAGCAAATGAATTTAAAAATTGGCAATCCCGAGAATAAAAATAAAAATAATAATTCACTTTATTTCCAAACAATTTGTGGTACAATTAGGCATTCTCAGCATGAACCACTAAACGACGACGGCATTTAAAGGCTAGCTAAAAATGTAGTCAAACCATTATGCAACCGAATTCAACAGGAATAGAATTTAACGAAAGATGATTATGTGAAACAGAGATAATAGTGACTGATGAAGGTTTCACAGTTGACGCAAAACACACATTATTAGTATGCTACTATGATCAATACTTCCATCATACGCAACACCATTAAAGTTTTCAAAGAACAACACTGAAAAAATCAGAGTGAACATTGCGTCAGTATAGCGACTTAATTCCACTGAAAGTATTGATGAAGTGGCAGGACCTATTGCACTTATTCAACCTGAGATTAGAATGCAGTAAGTAACTCAGAGATATGATTCTTAGGGTCAGTGATATAAAAAACGTTATGTACTTAAATTAAATTGTACGAAATATCAGCAGGAAATTTTCTCCAACCGCCATTTGTCCTTATAAATTAAAGT